TTTCTTCTTTTCTCTCCGATTCTCTCTTTTTTTCCTCTTTTCGCCGTCAACGAATTTGCAAGTTCGGCGCCGGCGAAAAGTCAAATAATTTCACAGCTGCGTACGACCTTAGCAATAAATAACATAAAAATGGAGAGGAGGAGGGAGGGAGAGTAGAGACGGTGACGGGAACAACGGCGGCAACAGCAGCAGCAGGAGCGGCAGGAGCAGCAGCAGAAGAAGAAAAAAGCAAAAGTGGGGGATGGCGGCGGCGGCGGCGGAAAATCCTCTCTCTTTACTTTTTGCTTGAAAAATTTTTTTTTTTTTTTTCTTTACATTTTCCTTCTCTTCACCCTTTCTGCTATTTCCAACCCCCCCCCCCCTACATCCACTTATTATTATCATTATTATTATTATTATTACATTTTTCTTTCTTTCTTTCTTTATTTAACACTTTCCTTTGTTAACTTTTTTTTCCTCTTTTCTTTTTTTTTGTTGTTTGAGCAAATAAACAAACGGTTATCCTTTTATTATTATTATTATTATTATTATTATTATTATTATTATTATTAATTATTTACAAAAAAAGACTATACACATATAAATTTTTTCCTTTTTTCCTTTTTTTTTTTTTTATAAAAATTAAATTTAATTATCGTGTATAAAAAATAAAATCTTAAAATAAAACCTCAAAGGAATTTTCCTTTTTCTTCTTCTTCTTCTTTAAAAAGTACATCAAATGCAGAAATTAAAAAAGTTTTCAACAATTTTCCAACAGGGTCAGGCAGTCTGAAATACTTTAATTAAATAAAATAAGAAGAAGAAAAAAAAGGAAAAAAGGAAAAAAAAAAGATTCTGCAAAGTTAAGATGAAAATCTTTTCAAAATTTTCCAATAAACTTTCCTTTCCTTTTTTTTTCTTTTTTTTCTTTTTCTTTTTTTCTTCTTCTTCTGCTTATTTTATTTAATTCTTTCCTTTTTCTCAATCCTTTTATATTTTCCTTTTACATATAATACGTTACGTGATTTTTCTTAAAAAAATAATAATAATAATTTTTTATTAAAATTTTTCCGATCGTTTTTTTTTTAAACCGGAAAATAATTTTTTTTGTAACGCGCCTAAAAAAAAAAAAAGGAAAAAAAGTTGGAAATCAGTTTTTTTTTGCCTTTTAGGTGTTTCCTCTTTCCTAATAACCTTTCAAAGGTTGATTCTGTTTTCATTTACAAAAAATTTTTTTCTTTTTTTTGTAAGCTCATTTACGTACGGATGATTGCTTTTCTCGATATATATAATTTTTTTTTACCTTTTTTTTTTACCTTTTTTCCTTTCTTTTTTCCTTTTTGGTTTCATTTCGTTTTTCCTTTTCCATTTTGTATTATTGTTACCCGATAAAACAATAAGGGAGGGAGGGGGAAAAAAATTTAATATACTTTTATTTTAATTTAAATATTTAAAATTTTCCCGGGGAAAAATGGAAAAAGTTTTCCTTTTTTTTTCCTTCCTTTGAAATTTTAAGGAAAATGATTTTTGAAGTGTCTCGAAGAAACTTTATTTAATTATCTATAATTAAAACCTTTTATATATTTTTTTATTTTATTTTATTTTGTCTGGTTTTATTCATTTCTAATAAGGTTTTTTTTCAAAGGTAAAAAAAAAAAAGGTTGATTGAATGAATCAAAGGAAAAATGTGTTTAATTTTGATTGATTTTATTACGTGTAAGAGAGAAAAAAAAAAGAAGTAAAAACCGTTAACGGTTCGATTGGAAATGTTCTTGACGCGTTACTTTATATTAAATTTTTGTACCACCTTGTGTTAATTAATTAATCCGTATGATTGGTGGTCATAGAGTATTTAAACGTTATTACGTAATAAAGAAAAATGGCGCGTTTTTAAATTTATTGTTTGTTTACATTTGTATGTTGTATATATATGTCGATACGTTTCGTTAAAATCGTTATTAATATCGATCGATTATGGAGTAAATAATAATAATGATAATAATAAAAGGGTTAATTAAACCGGGAGAGTTTTAATAATAATAATAATAATTTCTTTGAATGGATTAATAATTTTTTTTTTCATTTTTTTTTTTTTGTTCTTCCCTTATGTTTTATTATTCTATGGCGTTGAAGGTTTTAAATCGTCAACAAGGGTTCGATTGGTTTTTTTTTTTTTTTTTTTTCCTTCTGGTTAGTATGTTGGCAGATGACTCAGAGTACGTTGATTCAAAAACATTTGGTCACCTCCAACCCCCAAAAAAAAAAAAAAAAAATTGTGAAAAATAGACCGAAATGACGTCACTTCTTAAACAATAATCGACCAACGTTCAACGGAAAGGGATGAAAAGTGTGTCCGAATATATACAAGGGGTGGATTAACCCTCAAATCTCCTCCACATCCAGCCAGTTGTATATTCTTTCTCTCTTTCTCTCTCTCACCCTCTCCCTTTCCCTCTCTTCTCATACCTTTTTCATTCTCTATTTTTTTTTTTTTGCCTTTACCGTCTCCCCCGTCTCTCTCTCTCTCTCTTTATCTTTCTCTTTTTCTAACTTTCTGCTTGTTCAGAATTATTATCCCAGTAAATATAAAAATTATGAAACGAGGAAAAAAAAAAAGGATAGAATGAGAGAGAGAAAATGATGCTGCGAAACATGGTGGGTTTTTCCCTTCTACTTTTTTTTTTGACGAAGATGTTTTTAGTAGGGTCGTTTTTTTTTTTTTTTTTATTTGCTTCCACGTTTGACATTATTTTTTACTCCCTTCTCATCCTTTCTCCCCCCTTCCCCCCCCTCTCTCTCTCTTTTAGTATCTCGACGAAAAGTTTTAAAAAAATTTTTTAAATCAATTTTTTTTTTTCTGTATATTTTTTCCATCATGTTCGACGTCGTACACGTAGCGTCGTGTAAAAAGTATCGTAATAAAATAATAAAAAAACCCACGACGATCATGTTTAACTTTTGTACGATTTCATTTTTTTACGTTTTTTCATTCATTTCATTTTTTTTTTTTTTCTAAAAAACTTTTCGGTTGTCGGCCTGTTTGTGTATTCCGTTAAATTTCCTTTCATCAATCATCGTGGAATAAAAAAAAACCGAAATCGAATGTCGTACGATGATGATGATGATGATGATTCGAAAAATATTTAAAAAAATTTTTTTTTTTTTTTTTTTTTTATTTTCGTCGCCTTTTGTCAAACGCATAATTTTTCAATACATTACGTAAATTTTTTTTTTTTTTTTACGTTTTCGAAAAATCTCTTTGTCGTAATTTAAATATCATTCATTTCGTATACGAACGATATCGATCGGAATTTTTTTATTTGAAATCCTTTTTAAAACCGTTAACGGAATTTTTTTGTATAAAATAAAACAAAGATGGCGTCTCCGGGAGGGTATAACATTCGTTAAAATATTACAACCAATTAACGTCGAAAATGAATTTTTTATCATTCTTATCAATCGAAAAAGAAAAAAAAAAACAAATGAAATAAAGCAGACGACGACGATTTTTCGTGTAAATAGACAAACAAAATCATTGGTACCAACCTCATTGGTTGGTATCTATCGCAATTTTTTTTTTTTTTTTTCGATACACTTAAACGTTTATTTATATTTCCCTTCACTTTACAACTTTCAATTATTTAAATAAAAAATAATAATAATAATAATAATAATGATTTACAAAATAAATTTTTATATTTAGTTTACCCTTAGGTTATGTATTATTATTATTATTTCGAATCCGTTAAGATTGATTGATTAATAAAGGTCACAACGTTTTTTTTTTTTTTTCTCATTAAAAAATAGATAAATAAATAAATAAATAAATAAATATTACAAATACATAATATAGAAATTATATTGAACCAAATAATTTTCATTTCAATTCGTATATAATAAAATGCATATCCGTTTTCGTAACGTTTTTTTGTAGTGATAATAATGATAATAATATTAATTAATAAACGTTATTAATTTTAACGCACTCGCACGTGCGTGCGCGCGTGTACAAAAAATATATCGATCGATTTTTTTTTTTATTTATTATTAATAATTTTAAACGAATAGAATATCGTTGTTGTTGTTGTTGTTGTTGTGTTTGTTGTGTAACAAAACAAAATCTTATTTGTGAAAAAGTAGTCGTAAGAAAAGGTAGAGAAAATGGCGGACAATATGGTGGTGGTAGTGGGGGGGGGGTAAAGACAGATCGAATTTTCTTTTGTTGTCGAATCCGTTTAAATAATTATTTTACTTCTCAAATTAAATTAATTCGTATTAAATTTATTAATTAAATTTTTTTTTTTTTTCACAAATTAATCATAATGATATTGATAATAATAATAATAAGTTTTTTTATTATTAAATTTAAACATGTAAGGTTTACGCAACACACATCATAATCATCATCATTATTATTTCATATGTTCACTAAATCAATCACATAATTTTCACAAATTTTTTTTTTTTTTTTTTTTTTAATGTCCCCTTAACCCCAAACCCCTTCCCTTCCCTTCCCCTCCCTCCCACCCTTCCCGCGAGTTTTTTTTTTATTATTTATAAATTCTTGTTAATTCTAAATTTCTATAAACTATTTTTTAGAAAAAAAAATTATTATTATCATTATTGTTATTCGTTATCATCCAATAACAAATTAATTTCTCTTTTTTTTTTTACTTTTGCCCTCAGACTCGATGGCGAAATGTTATTATTATTATTATTTATTTTTTTCAAAATGTTAATCAACTAAAAATAATAATAATAGGAAGAGAGAGAAAGAAAAAAAAAAGTTATTGTTTTAATGTTTGAGAGTGAGTGAGTGAGTGAGTGTATGCGTGTCGTCATTAAACTCTGACAAAACCAATTCGATGGAAAAAAA